TGCTCCCTGAGCTTGGTTGCTTCCTTGCAGACCTTTCATTTCCCAAACTAGCACTAATGATGTTATCTAATTTGGGTAATAAAATGTCTGCAAGAAAGCAAGAAACTAAGGACCCCGCATTTCAACCTTGAAGTACAAACATTCTTCATTAGTGTGAGGGATATTTTGTGAACTGGTATTTGTTCGTAGCTCAGTTAGTGAACTTTGAGTTTAAATTTTGTGTCCCCGTATCCTTTGTTATTACCTTCATATTAGATTGGCCTATTTTACAGCAGAGTTGTTATATGAGTTAGGTGAGGATTTGTGAAATTTATTTCAAACATCATAACGCTTATGTCATAAAAATAATATGTATATGATGAAACAAGCACATATTATTTTTATTACATGCACATGTGGAGGATATTTCTATATCGTTCATTAAGAAAACTCTTTATAGCTATAAGGAAGCATGTATATAAATGAAAGCAGTGAATACAAAAGTACAATATATTATGAAAATCTGTAACACACAATGTTTCAACTTTTTATTGCCTAGCTTCAAGATAAAGGCATGAGATATACTGTGACAAATAATCTACAGTGTATGCTTGTATCTTTTTTTCTCCTTTTTATGTATTTGTTTACTAAATAACAAATTGAAACTGAAGCATATCAAAATAAATTTCAAGTGGCATCAGAGCAAAGATAAAGGAAAACCATAAATCTAGGGAATTGTAGTTTCCTGAATTTTCAAGATTCATGAAATTTGTTGGTTTTCCAAAAACAAAACAAAATAACCCTAAAATGTAACATCAGCACTGAAGTAATATTGAAATACATTAGAAAGTGATAAACAAAATCTTTTAATGTGTTTAACTCCATATCTGTATTCTTAAAATATTTTGTATATGAATAGTTGAATATGGACTTAACTATTTCAGAGATCTCTAAAGATTTGTTTGGCTCTTTTCATTATGCAGCATATTTTAGGTTAACTTCAAGTTCATTGAGACTCTTGCTCTTCTCCAAAATGTTACATATGTACTTTCATTACAACATATTAGTTGACTACTGGCATAGAATAAGGCTATCAGTGACAGTCAATGGGCAATCCACCTGTGTCTTCAAAAGAATACTTAAATGAGAAGATTTATGAAAATAGAAGAACTATTGAGAATCAACATTAAGAAATCTCTACTTCTAGAGGTATATGCTGTAAACTCATTTTTAAAATGAAAGTGGTGGACAATATGTGGACACAAATAACACCTGCCTTTTCCCAATGAGCAATAAAGTGGAAGGGCACTTTTCTCTCTCTTTCTCCTTCAAGGGAATAGCATCTTCAAAATGAAGATTAGATGGGCCTATCAGTCTTCACTAGAGCTAGGTATAAATGGCTTTCTGAAATTCATTAAAGATTTAGGCAGAGAGGTTGGGTGGATTATTTTCTCTATTTTTTTTTTCAAAAGAAAGAAAAATAATGTGGTACAAAACAAAATATTTGCCTGGAGAACTATGTGTTCCGCGATATTGTGTTCTAAATTATGAGAGCAGAAAAGGTGAATAGCTTTGAATACTACTAATTGCAAGATGTTCTGAGAGTTGCTGATTGCACATTGTTAGTGATTGGATAACTGTTTGATGTTGAGCAAGTAGAGTCTGTAAGAAAAATATAAGGCAGCCTTATTCAAGAAGTGAATTTATTAAGCTGATCAATAGGGTGAGTTAATAAAATGTTGCAGGAGAGGCCCTGAAAAAAAAATCCTTTTAGTCAAGAGTTGTAATTTTATAATATGAAATCCTGAGGTGGAGAGTAAGGAATAACAAATAAAAGCTTTTCTACTGACGGTGCTCTAAGAAGAATAGTCAAGATGAATGGGTAGGGACCTGCTGTTTGGATATACAATGCTTATGGCATGTTTGCTTCCTGCTCTTCCACTGTCTCAGATATTTCACTCTTTTGAAGTTTTAAATTCAAGGGCTGCTATATTTGCATATGCTACATGTATATCCCAAATTATACAGAATTTCAATACTATTTGCAAATGAGAAGGAGTGAAGTTCAGCTAATCAAATCTATTTACATAGGATCAACTCTTTCTGGTAATGGATTTCGGTCAAAGAAGAAACCTACTTTTCATCACATATAGAGAAGCCAGCATATTTTTTTGGGTGCAGAATGTAAATGGAAGGGTAAGAAATATTCCAGTTTACATGATAAAGTAGTATCTATGGGCTAGGAATGTGAGTTAAAATGGTAATATAATTGCCCGCCTGTCCTGACATTGTATAACCATATGGAAAGTTTTTAAATATTCTGAATTCTATGAACAGTTCAGACTTTGATAGGATGTTCTTCACCTTCAAGCAAATGGTGCCACTGCTGCAAAACATCCTTGATGATCAAAAGGTCTTTATTAAGAACATACAGTAATTCCTTTCAGCAAAAAAGAGTTGCTGCTAGGAAACAAATGCCCAAGAGACATTGAAGTAGTTTGTAAAATGACAAGGACAAATTAGAAGCATCAGACTATAAAATGCATGGATGGTAGGATCTGGATGAGGGAAAATGGGTTGAGAACTGAAGAAAATTTTGCTGTACTTCAGCATCTCACTTCAAAGGAAATCTTGTAAGGTTTGTTACTATAGCAAAATATGGAATAAATTTACAGTAATATTTAACAAAGTCTAGAAAATGGTATATGTTCCTGATAGTTGAAGGTTAGGGCCTAAGAAAAGTCCAGGCACAAAATGAATTCTACCTTAGTTGGAGCTATCCTAATTCCTGATTTTGGTTTATAGTATCCCAACATCTAGCTTAGAATAGACGTGATAGCCATAAAGTAATTGAGGAACGGCTTGTACTTGACGAGATACAGATAAAGATTAACAAAATTGGAAGGGACCTTGTAGGTCATCTAGTCCCACCCCCCCATCCAAGCAGGAGACCCTACTCCATTTCTGACAAATGGAAGTCCAATTTCTTCTTGAAAGCTTGCAGTGATGAAGCTCCCACAACTTCCGAGCTGTTCCATTGGCTGATTGCTCTCACTGTCAGAAAATTTCTCTTTACTTCTATATTGAATCTTTCAGCTTCCATCCATTAATCCTTGTCTGGCCTTCAGGTTTAGTAGAATAGGTTCCTCTAAGTAAATCAATAAGTCATATTAGTGCACCCAAAATCCTGAAAAAAAAATACTATTTCAAAGTATACAGATATTCATGGACCATTGACCAATCCAAAATCCATTATTATGTATTCCTGCCCTCTATAATAAGAATCAAAGGCAGATAATGGAGGCAAGGATACCTTTTTTGCAAAACCCAGGTGAGAAGCTCTCACTCATGATGGCTTTCTTTGGGATTGAAAGGCAGTGTCTCAGCAGCAAATCTCTGGAGGGATAATTATATAATGAAAAATTGGATGTTGATTGTCTTGTAATTGAGTAATCACACAAATATGAAATCCATGGCATAATGTGCAGGTGCTCTAGGTACCATAAGCATGCTGGTCACAGTGGCCAATCTTTCCTGCTTAAGGCAGGTAGCCTCAGTATGAAATCACAACAGCCAGTCTTTTCCCTTCAGGTAAGCAGCATTGTTAGCATTGTGACAAATTGAAGAAAGCAGAGTCCATAAATGTGGACACACAATATTTGTGTCTCTCATTAGAATGTGCCTCTACTAGGACAGGTAGTTCAATTTCTTTTAATGAAATAAGAAAAAGATTTGGACAGGTAAAAAATAGGCAAGGGCCAGAGCGGTTGGCAAGTCAGAAGCTTATTTTTTATAATGCTTCCATTGACTGAAAGCTCAAAGAGAAAAGAAAAACGTCTGGACTCCCAAAGAAGCAATGAAAATAGAAGCAGACATTAACACTTTGGCAGGGTTCAGATGTAAAATTATTGAATAAAAGATTAAGCACAGGAAAAGTGAACATCTCTGTAATGGAAGACAAAGTCAATCATTGTGGGAAGACAAGGAGGAATATGATGTCATGTGTATTGTGACATCATTATGTAAATTACTTCTTTGTCATGGTGCCTATTCTCTGGAATGGCATTTGCCCCAAAAATCCATTTGGCTCCAACCTATTGAGATTCAGACAGTCACTGAAGACCTAGCTATTTTATCAGGACTTAAGTGTGGAGTGGTTGGTAAGCACATGCAGATTTTCTTTTTTTCTATTCAGAGCTTTTCTTTGAAACACATAGGATCTGGGGTTTTTTTAAAAAAAATTCTTGCTTTTAAGGCAGAAGCTGTGTGCAAAGTCATTTGGGGTCATGTGACCTCTAAACTTCATTTAGATGTAACTAAATCATTGATATTTTTGTGTCCTTTGTATGATGCCATTGTTATTAGACTTATATCCCACCTTTATTTTAATAATTCTAATTAATTAATTAATTTAATTAACAGCAGCTCAAGAAACTGGCCCTGAGTCACTCAGCAGCTATCGGGCTTAAGGGAGGACTAGAACTCATGGTCTGCTGTTTCTAGTCCAGTACCTCAACCACCACACTAGACTGGTTCTCATGATGTACATGATGTCATTATAGCTTGTGTGGAATGCCTCTGGAGAGAAAAAAAATCAGAAGAACAGGATAATAGGCACAAATAAGTGCAAAACCAGGAAGAAAACTGAACAGTTGCAGTATATATAGCCCAAGGGTGTCAAACTCATAGCTTCACGTTTTCATCACATGACATATCATGGCCATTTCCCCCTTCGCTAAACCAGTGGAGGGTGTGGCTAGCGTGTGATGCTTCTGGCTCACAGGCCACCAATTTGACACCCCTGATATAGCCAAACAGACAAAAATTAAAGTGAGTGATTATTTAAACTATTGCATTTAGGTAGGTGGGTGGATAGGTAAACAAACAGATCTGGAATGGTGGTTACGTGGAAAATATTTTACAGATTTAGCATACAGAAACAACCACCTGCTACAGTGATTTCAGAATGCCATCCTTTCAAGGCTCTGATTGACTTTTGACAGATGGTGGTTGATCTCAAAGTAGCCTGTTTCCTTGCTTTCACGCTTGCCCTAAGTTGTCCAAGAGAATATTTTTGTATTGGACATGGATCAACACTCTTTTTATCTAACCCACAGCTTCTTCTTGCCCTTCTTTACTGTCTGAAGTTATAAAGCAATGAACTACAAGATTCTGAGAGACGGTTCAAAGTTGCTGCCTTTTCCCCAAGCAACACTCTGAAGGATTATTGCGGCACTGAACCGTTCATATGACTTTAATTTCTCCATTTGTTGCAGTGGAAGACTTAATTAAGGACAAATGAATGGAATTCAATAGTACAGGTGAAACTCGAAAAATTAAAATATCGTGCAAAAGTTCGTTTATTTCAGAAATGCAACTTAAAAGGTGAAACTAATATATGAGATAGACTCATTACATGCAAAGCAAGATAGTTCAAGTCATGATTTGGCATAATTGAGATGATTATGGCTTGCAGCTCATGAAAACCCCAAATCCAGAATCTCAGAAAATTAGAATATTATATGCAATCAATAAAACAAGGATTGTACATAAAACAATATCGGACTTCTGAAAAGTATAAGTATGCAGATGTACTCAGTACTTGGTGTGGGCCCCTTTTGCAGCAATTACTGCCTCAATGCGGTGTGGCATGGAAGCTATCAGCCTGTGGCACTGCTGAGGTGTTATGGAAGACCAGGATGCTTCAATAACGGCCTTCAGCTCCTCTGCATTGTTCGGTCTCATGTCTCTCATCTTTCTCTTGGCAATGCCCCATAGATTCTCTATGGGGTTCAGGTCAGGCGAATTTGCTGGCCAATCAAGCACAATAATCCCATGGTCATTGAACCAGGTTTTGGTGCTTTTGGCAGTGTGGGCAGGTGCCAAGTCCTGCTGCAAAATGAAGTCAGCAACCCCATTAGGAAGGAAGCATGACGTGCTCCAAAATCTCCTGGTAGATGGCTACATTGATCCTGGACTTAATGAAGCACAGTGGACCAACACCATCAGATGACATGGCTCTCCAAATCAACACAGAGTGTGGAAACTTCACACTGGACTTCAAGCATCTTGCAGTGTGTGCCTCTCCATTCTTCCTCCAGAATCCTTGGTTTCCAAATGAGATGGAAAAGTTGCTCTCATCAGAAAAGAGGACTTTGGACCACTGAGCAACAGACCAGTTCTGTTTTTCCTTAGCCCAGGTAAGACGCTTCTGATGTTGTTTGTTGTTCAGGAGCAGCTTGACAAGAGGAATACGACATTTGAAGCCCATGTCCAGGATCCGTCTGTGTGTGGTGGTTCTTGATGCACTGACTCCAGCCTCAGTCCACTCCTTGTGAAAGTCCCCAACATTTTTGAATGGCCTTTTCCTGACAATCCTCTCCAGGCTGCGGTCATCCCTGCTGCTTGTGCACCTTTTTCTTCCACACTTTTTCCTTCCACATAACTTTCTATTAATGTGCTTTGATACAGCACTTTGGGAACATCCAACTTCTTTTGCAATTACCTTTTGAGGCTTTCCCTCCTTATGGAGGGTGTCAATGATGGTTTTCTGCACAACTGTCAGGTCAGCGGTCTTTCCCATGCTTGTGATTCCTACTGAACCAGACTGAGAGACCATTTAAAGGCCCAGGAACCCTTTGCAGGTGTTATGGCTTAATTAGCTGATTAGAGTGGGACACTTTGAGCCTAGAATATTGAACCTTTTCACAATATTCTAATTTTCTGAGATTGTGGATTTGGGGTTTTCATGAGCTATAAGCCATAATCATCTCAATTATGACAAATCACGGCTTGAACTATCTTGCTTTGCATGTAATGAGTCTATCTCATATATTAGTTTCACCTTTTAAGTTGCATTCTTGAAATAAATGAACTTTTGCACGATATTCTAATTTTTCCAGTTTCACCTGTATTTCAAACATGGTGTCTCAATACATTACAACAGTATGACTACTTTGTTGCACAATATCATGGATTTCTTCCCTTTCTTTTGGATATTTAAAATCCATGACAGAATCTGGCTGAGGTTGCCCTTCATCATTCAATCGCTTATTTCTTCTAAAAAATAAAAACTACTCCAACTGATTACCATCTGAAACCTTGCCATTTGGTGAAACCCCATCTAGCTGAAACACCATCTGTATCTAACTTCCAAGCTCCTGCTGGGTTTCATTTTGTTTCTCAAGCTCTTTTTTGGATTTTTTTTTCTTGAAAGCTGCTTTTCTAACTTCTGGATGTGATTCACTCAGAGCCCTTAATTTGTTATGGTTAGATATGGACAGGAATTTTAGAGATTTGAATGCACTAAACAAGCAAGGTGGAAGCTAGAAAGATTTACTGAACAAAGGAAAGCAATAGAATTACTGACTTGTAAAGTGTAACACACATAGGAAATATTCATAGACAAGATATCAGATTGGCTCCAACCCTGCTGGTTTTTTTGCAAGGTTCTGAAAACATCATTTTACCAAAGGGGCAACTCAGCAGCAGTGTGGTGGAGCTGATGCAGTCTCTATACTGATTTTTCTGATGAATAATATTACTTTGACTGGGTGTTTTATGTATTTTATAATGGTTTTGATATCCTTTTATAATGTTCTTTTTCTTGTTTTTAAATTGTTTTGTTCTTTTTTGCTGTTTTTATATGTAATTGTTCATAAGCTGCTGAGTCACAAATGTGGGATATGTGGTTATATACTGTAAGTTTGAAAAATAACTAACTAGCTAAATAAAAGACAACAGCCAACAAAAAATATGAATCCAGGATAGAATCTCATGTCTCTTTAGTGGCAGGGAGTATCTGTTGCAAATAAAAAAAAAAGAAAAAAAGAAAGCAGCTTATTTTAAAAATATTAGACATGCTTTGTTTCACAGGGCTGCTCGCTGATCTTGTTATGCTATTAAAATCTCAGCATAACTGGGTCATAACAAAACCAATGGGAACTGAGAACCCAGCAGAATTATAGGTATTGATTACATTGCAGGAACAAACAGGATACTGGTTATTAATTAATTAATTTAATTTATTTGTGTTTTGTATTTTTTTAAAATCCTCTGATTCTAAAGGGAGCATGTTACAAGTTTAAATAATGTAATAACAAAAAAAGTTTTGTTTTATTCCTTGCAATAAGCAAGGAATATAAAAAAAAACATATCCAGAATCTGGATATTTGAAACCAAGGCCATGTTTGTTTAATGTATAGAACAGGATTTGTGCTCTGAGAAGTTATTTACCAAAATAGATTAATAAATTACTGTATAAATTTGGTCCAATATTTGGAAGAGATATATCCAACATCTTTATAATACTAAAAGGAGCCTTATGATTGCAAAATGTCCAGTAAACTGTAGAGTGTTCTCAATGTGCTTTTAAAGACTTTACCAATCAGTTGTTCTAAATTGATTCTCATCTTTATGACAATTTAAGACTGTTTAATAAACTGTTGTTGTTAAACAAAGTTAAATGATACATTAATACTATTTCTCATTGTTGGGGGAAAAGTTCATACTCTGATGCAGAGAATGCAGAAAACTGAGACAAACTGATTCAAGGTAAAATAGTTGGTTTCAATTGTTCTAGTCTTCATTTAAAAATTCAATAGAACTTTGGGCTCAGGTTTTTTTTATTAATCTGCACAATGCCCCAGTACTGTGTCCCCACAAAAGGAGGAGGGTAATTATTTGAATTTTGTTTGCCTAAAAGGTCCTAGTGAGGAGGGTAGGAAAGATTTGATAGGTTTGTTCTGAGATCCCAATGATTCTTCAATAAGACTATGGCTAGTTGTAATCAGACTTACCTTTGAAATAGATCACAACCACTTGGGAGGAGTGATCATGGGTATGGATATCTAATTTCATGATTTGTAGTTGCACATTATTTCCCATAACATGTCTTTTACACCAATATGTAAATATTTCCTGAATGGTCTTAGCCTGGCTTATTGATTATTTTCTTTTCAGCAAAGAACAATGGTTAAGATTTTATAGGCCCTGCCATCTTCAGCTCCCGACACTCAACTCCTAGAAAATAACATTATTATTTTTTACCATGACCCATTCTTATTTGCAAAAACACTTTAGCGTATCTGTCTGAAATCTGTGATAGATATTTCTCATTATAGGAGCTCTTGTAACTGCAAATTTCATCATAATCTTGCTCGAAATGAAACCTATGATGGTTACTTGTATTTTTTTTTAAATTACAAATATTTTAAAGGACCATGGCTGAAAAAAGTTTTAAAGATCCATAACTGAAAAAGTTAAGTATCAATCTGACAATCTAGCCATTTTATAATTTAATTCAACAATGGTGAAAAAACCTTGACAAATATTCCTGCAAAAGGGAAAATGGACTGAGAATTGATTGGAGATTATGACTCTGGGAGGAAGTTTCAAACTTTTGCTTTTTACTCGGTGTACTTCTGGAATCTAACCAGTCAGAATTACACCAAGTGCTTGCCAATTTAATATGTTCCTAATAAACAAACTTTCAAGAAAGATGGATGCCTTGGATTTTATTTCAGGGGACATCTTACTTGGAAGCTTGACATCACCCACAAGCTACACCAAATATGCAATGTGGAATATGAGAAACTAGCTTTACTAAAGTTTCAAATATGTTAGAACTAAAATAAAACTGGTATCAACTGCAGACACAATGTCAGTATAAATTCCTACATTGTTGAGTTGATTCTAGAGTGGTACAGAATTTATTCCCTATATGGAAGTATACTTTGTCAAAATCTGATAATCTAAGATTTTTTTCTTCCCAATGAGTAAATTTCAAGTGCTGAAATGTGTGAAAATATTTATTTTCTTCTCTTGTTTGCTTCAAAAATATGAGCAAAGGAGTCTATGATCTTATTTTGTTTCTTTTCAGGAGAACCTACAATCACAGCATTTCTTTTTAAGATAAAAATTCAGGTTATCCTTTTCTATCATTATGCTCTCATCTGAAATAATTTGTATTTATTCATTTTTTCTCTCTCTTCTTCCCTCCTGACTATATATCTCAGTTTGGGCCACACACTGAGAGTGGTGGGTTTTTTAAAACTACCAATCATATGTATTAAATATTGACCTAATCAAAATGACTTAGATCTCACTGCACCTGTTTAAATGTATGGTATTGACATATTAAGACAGCCTATCCCAACCTTTAGCTTTAAATGCATGGTATTGACATATTAAGACAGCCTATCCCAACCTTTATCCTAACCTTTAGTTATGACAAGTTAAAATTCTCATCATCCCCAAGTGAGACAGTAAATATAATTTGCTATTTCTAGAGAGTAGAAAATTTGTGAAAGCAGCTGTACATAGGGGCCAGCATTGAATGGGGTTGTATGATGAATCTCTGAAATTTCACAAGCCCTTTTTTTGTCAATTTCTGTTGACTTTGTTTAGTTTCTTCTTACAACAGCCAAATATATTGCAAGTAAATTTGCTGCAATTTTCTTTTTCAGTTTCCTTTCTGCTTTAGCTTCCTTTCCACCTTCATAGAGGTGAACCACTCCTCAAGTGGATAAAATAAGCTATTTCTGGTCCACATATGCACAGCTCATTATATCTCCTGATGACTTTTGTCGGTAATCCATTTCTGTCAATAATGTTATGCTTCGGTGCACTATTCATTAAAATTCCATTACAGGGCATTAAAGGCTTGACAGATTTGGGAACTGTCATCCAATCAACTCAACATCACCTATTTGCTTTCAAATCTGATGTTGTCATTTGTTGTGTTGATGCTGAAAACCTTGCTTTCGGATCTTGTTAGGTTATCCAAGGCAAAAAGCTTTACTGTAACCATAAAATCAATTTTAACAGAGTTACTTGCCTTGTGTCCATGCTGACATTTTGGAATGATATGTAGGTGGCTTGCCATTCTTCTGGGATTTTTTTTTCAATTGTTTTACTTCCCACTCTACCCTATTCTCTGGAATTTTCTGGTGGTCTTCCATCAAGTATTACTTAGGTTTACTCCTGCTTAGCTTTTCAAGAAGAGCGTTTCACACCTAGCTTGGCAAAAACTTAAGCTCTTAAATAAATGATGGTGTACCCATGTATATTCATTACACTGAATTTAATGTATAAGAATAATAAATGTAACACATAAAGAAATAAAATAACAAACAGCTCCCCTCCCCTTCCCTTCGCATCCCTCAGATTCTAGAAAAGCAAAAAAGCAAAGCCACAATCGGTGAAACAATTTAGGTATGGAATTTTAGTGAATGCAAGAATTCATACTACAGTCAAGTCTTAGTCTTGGTCTCATATTCAGAAAAAAGAAAGCCATCTTCATAGCCACCCAAAACTATTAAGATCTGCCCTTCTCTTTTCTTGAAAGTCCTAAGCAGAAAAAATAGCATCCCTATTTGTTAAGCTTCTTTATCCTAATCTTTTTGAGGAGAAATGAAATAAAGATGTTGAACATCTATTCATATTAAGATTGCAGCTAGCATTTGAGAAATTGAAAGGAACCAAAGAAATCCATCTCTCTGGAGAAGTTGCATGTACAGTAAGTACAGTCAAAAGGAAATGCCTTTCCTTTTATATCATATCCCTTCCTCCATTATCACAGCCTGTCTTACACATCCTTTACAAAAACTCAAATGGCCAAGAGGCAACTGATTTTTTGTATTCATATTATACAATACAGATATTAGATAAGTACAGTAGCATTTATGCAATATAAATAAAACAGTTGACACTATAATAATTTAGATTACGTAAAACTTTAAAGATTAAAAACAACTTTATACCCATGTTAACTATGATTAACTATGCTAATGAACACAACATAATTGTACAATTAAGATCAAGAGTCAAGCAGCATTGACAAGCTATTGTAAAATGCCTTGAACTATTTTATGCTAAAATAAATTTCTATTTTAACTTTGATAATTAGCAATGAGATTTCCGGCATATTTTTATTTATTTTTTAATATTTTAAAAAAGAACAAAACAAACTAAGAGAAAAGAAGCAAAATAAAATAAAAGCTCCTTAGAAAAACAAATAAATAGCAATTTCTTCATATTCTGACCAAGCTGAAAATATTAAGGGTCCATCAGAAACCATATTGTAATAATAATAATTTATTAAACATGTACACTGCCTGACTCTCAATGATTCTGGGAGGCTTATAACAGTTAAAGGATGAAATTACAGCAAAGGCAATACAATGCAATACTGTAGAAGACCATTACAACATATTTTTACTTGAAGTCAAAAGAGTCATCAAGGTATATGTATCATTAACAACTCCCAAAACCAGAAAAAACAAATTACCCAAGACAATAAGGAAGCTTCAATCCAAAAAGAAATCACTTTGGCAGAAAAACAAATCTGGTCATGTTGCCAACTTCAAAAGCTGATACAAAAATTTATGCCACCAGATAAAGACTGAATGCACCAATTATCACATTAAACAAGAAAAAAAACCTTCTACGCACCAATTCCACCTGTGCTTTCTACAGTTTTGTAAACAACAAACTAAAACACTCAAGGTCCATCCCACCCCTGAAAGGAGCTAATGGTAAAGACTGCAACGACGACACTATTAAAGCCAACCTCTTTAACACATTCTTTGGCTCAGTATTTGTAAACAGCAATGGATCATGCCCAGTATTTCCTAGTCGAACCACAGACAACTATAATGATCTAATACATATCAATTTTACAGAAGACAATGTTGAAAAAACACTACGTAATCTAAAACCATCTCTATCTATTGGACCGGACGGAATATGTGCCTACTTCTTTAAAAAGCTACCCACTGCCATAGCTGAACCTCTAAGCATAATCTTTGAAAAATCTTTCAGGACCAGCTCCTTGCCAAAACTATGGTCACAAGCCACGGTCATCCCCATCTTCAAAAAGGGAGACCCCAGCCTAGTTGAAAATTACAGACCAATCTCTTTATGCTGTATCACCTGTAAAGTCATGGAATCAATTATTAACCAATCTATCATCCTCCACTTAGAAACAAACAACCTACTCGCTAATAAACAATTTGGTTTTAGGAAAAAAACTATCATGTAATCTGCAACTCTTACACTGCAAAAACATATGGACTACACAACTTGATCAAGGCAAAGAAATAGATGCAATCTACATAGATTTCTGTAAAGCCTTTGAATCAGTGGTACACGACAAACTACTCCTAAAACTAAAATCTTATGGTATCTCTGGACACCTACATAACTGGATAGAAGCATTCCTGTCAAACAGACAACAAATGGTCAAAATTGGGAGTGTCCTTTCTGTACCTGACAACAGTGGTGTCCCCCAAGGCAGTGTTCTAGGACCAACTCTCTTCATACTCTACATAAATGACCTCTGTGATCATATTAAGAGCAACTGCGTTCTTTTCGCTGATGATGTAAAGCTGTTCAATACCACAGACAATATTGCTACCCTTCAAAAAGATCTTGACTATGTATCAGAATGGTCAAACAAATGGCAACTTCAAATCTCAACAAATAAATGCTCTGTCCTACATACTGGCAAAAAAATCAGAAAATAAAATACAGGCTGAATAATCAAGACCTTGTTGATAATCCAAACTCTGTCAAGGATCTTGGAGTACTCATCTCAAATGACCTAAGTGCTAGAGCCCACTGTAACTACATAGCCAAAAAGGCGTTAAGAGTTGTTAACCTAATCTTACGTAGCTTTTTCTCTGGTAATATTACACTACTAACTAGAGCATACAAAACATTTGCTAGACCAATACTTGAATACAGCTCATCTGTCAGGAACCCACATTACCTATCTGATATTAACACAGTTGAGAAAGTCCAGAAATATTTCACAAGAAGAGTTCTCCACTCCTCTACTCGTTGCAGAATACCTTATGCCACCAGACTTGAAATTCTAGACCTAGAAAACCTAGAATTATGCCGCCTTCAGTCTGATCTAAATATAGTATATAAAATCATACATTGCAATGTCCTACCAGTCAATGAATACTTCAGCTTCAACCATAACAACACAAGAGCAAACAATAGATACAAACTCAAGGTTAATCGCACCAAACTTGATTGCAGGAAATACGACTTCAGCAACAGAGTGATCAATGTCTGGAATACTCTACCTGACTCTGTGGTTTTTTTTCCCCAAACCCCAAAAACTTTAACCTTAGACTGTCTACTATTGACCTCACCCCTTTCCTAAGAGGTCTGTAGGGGGGGTGCATAAGCGCACTAACATGCCTACCGTCCCTGTCCTATTGTTTCTTTTATATTTTTTATCTTTCTTATATGTATCCATGTATTCATAACTGTTTTTACTTATACCTATTATCTTGTAAGCAATTGACAAATAATAAATAAATAAATAAATAAATTTAAGATAAAAGATAAAAGATGGCAAGCATGATGAAGTGATTCTCCTTCACTATAAAGATGTGGATGAAGAACAAGGTCTTCACAACTCTTCTAAGGGACAGCAGAATGGGGACCATCCAGATCTAGGCAGAACCTTGTTCCAGAGGGCAAGAACTGCTTTAGAGAAAGTGCATTTTCAGACTTCCAAGAGATAGCATTACTTAGCACATCAATCTTGCAGGATTGAATCAGCAAGGCAGTTGCGATAAGAACCAGGTGGTCCCATAAGTAAACAGGCCCTATGCCATGTAAATGTGTGTATCAACCTTGCTGTTTGCTGAATTGCATGTATGGAAGTCATTCTTGCTAGTAACTGATTTTTGTCACGTGAATTGGTCAAACTTATTTCACTTACTACTGCATCTTTTAAAAGTCCCGATGTTTGAGAATATTTGAGACATGACCTCATTTTTAATCCATAATGGAAGCAACATATTGTTTCTGTATTAAGCAAGGTATTTATGAATAGCCTTAAACCATATGGTTTATTTATTTTTCTTTTTTGATACCTGAAATTAGTAATGGAACAAGAAGTACTCCTGCCAGAAAAATCAAGTTTACTGTCAAAAATGAAAACAAACTGAATAACTATCCTTATGATTTGCATATTGGGTCTTATGTGTAGCATAAAGATGATTAAGTATGTACTGGAATAAAGGTGAGATATGTGCATTGATTCCAAATCCTCAAATATATTCTTTTAAAGAATCATATTCAATTCCCATTTTTTGCTTTTCAGTGTCAAATGGTTTGTGTGATTTTATTTGCTTTTAGCAGTTTGTTATTATTTACATTTTATTTTTATTAGCCATCTTAAATGCTGTTTACACAGAAAAGGAGGAGGAGGAGGAGGAGGAGGAAGATATCAAAAACATAGGGGACTTATTAAATATGAACTAAAAGGGAACTTGAGGGTTATTTTATACATCCACGTGAGATTATTTGCATTGAGAATGCTCCCAGAAGATACATGTGATCTAGTAAGCTGCTATAAGCTGCTACTTTGAGGAAAATGTCAAGATATATATGAAATATTATAGATTGCTATCTCATTACAGTAGCAAAATGTTTTCCTCTCAAGTCAGCATTAATAAGGCGATTACTGTTTTGAGAACCTAAGTTTCTTTTTTTTTTGTAGTAATTTTTTTTTAATTTTTACATTTTAAAAACATCTTTTTCAGTGAACAATGTGGTTCCAGGGTTTTACACTTCAATACAAACATGACCTTAGAATATATATTTTTCTTTTACATTCAATTCTATATCATATCTTTACTTCCATTTTCCCATAATTTTTCTCCAATATTCTTATTTTCTTTATGCTTATTAAATCCATTTTCAATTTATATCTTAACTTAATTCCTTTTTCTTTAAATATTCTCATATCTTATTTTACAGTCTAACATTTTTATTTTTTATTCTAAATTCATTGTACCTTTATGCTTTTATCTGTCACATTTGCAATTTTATCACATTCTTGTGTTTCATTATTCAATAAGTTTCATCTTGAATCTAATAATTCCAAAAGTTTCCCCCTTTAATTTACCAATTAGAGTGTGCCACCCCTTTGTCTTATACATCCCTTAATTTGTTCCCCTTTAATCCACAATAAAAGTTTATCATAATATAATCACATTATAATTATCACATTCTGGTTTAATAACACTAATCTCCTAACTACTATATATCACATATGCATGTATATATATTGAGCTAGATTCTGCATAGTATTATTTCCCTCGATTACTTTCTAAATCATTTATTATTTCAAATATATTGATCTATTTAATTAATTATAGAAACTGATATTAGCCTTTTCATTAAAATCCCCATAATTCCTTTTAACTGCATTCTTTGCTTTATTAAGTATAATTCATCTTCTTATTATAGTTTCCAATTTTCACATTTATTTCAATTATGTCTATATATAAATTAACAATAATCCTTAAAAAAGAAGCCAATTAAAAAAGAAATATCAGTTCCAGTAGCTTTTAAAAACTACATTCTTATATGTTACAAAACATTACCTTGCAGAATCCCTTTTCTTTGATTCTTTTCTACCCATTATCTCTATGTCTACTAAACAATTTCTTTTCGTTTTTGTTCAGTTTCCATATCTCCTTATTTTCTGGTTCTTTTCCTTATTACCTCTTTTTCCATTTTTTCCCTCCATTTCTTACTCCGGTTTTTATCT